CCGTTCCTCGAGATTTTTTATGCTACTCCTCGTCTCTTGTTGAAATTGTTGAGTGTTCAAGACAAGTGTCTTCATCATATCTTCAAGAGATGAGTTGGAACTCGTGGCATGCTGTTGAGGTTGAGGAGGAGGTGGAGGCGGTTTAGGCATGAAGTTTTGGAATTGAGGCCTCGGTGCATAACTTAAACTCGGATGATCCCTCCACCCTGGGTTATAGGTGTTGGAGAAGGGGTCATACTTTCTGTGTGGTGGGCATCGCATTAGCTTGCTCTGGGGAATCTTCTTGAAGTGTCGGACACATATCAGTGGGGTGTCCGGAGTCAGCACAAATCCCACAAGCCTTCACGTGTTGCACACCACCAGTCACCAACTGTTGAACCAATGAAGTCAAATTAGCTATTTGACTTTCAAGAGATGACACATTCACCTCATTCACCTTCCTCTGGTAGGTGTCATGTCTGGAACCGAACTGCTGAGAGTTAGCAGCCATGGTGGAGATCAATTCTCTTGCTTGAGCAGGCGTCTTGTTTGCAATGGCTCCTCCACTAGCGGCATCCATCATCCTTCTCTCCATCGGTAGTAGGCCCTCATAAAAGTATTGGATGAGGAGCTGTTCAGAGATCCCATGTTGAGGGCAACAAGAGCAAAGTTGCTTGAATCGTTCCCAGTAATCGTGGAGCGTCTCGACATCCTTTTGTTTGATTGAACAAATCCCCCTCCGAATGTTTCCTGCTCTTGAAGCAGGGAAATATTTGTCGAGAAACAGGCGTAGCATTCCGTTCCACGTGGTAACAGATCCAGGAGGCAAGTAAAATAACCAATCCTTAGCACCATCGATCAATGAGAAAGGAAAGGCTCGAAGTTTGATTTGGTCCTCCGTGACACTTTGCGGCTTCATACTTGAACACGCCACATGGAATTTTTTCAAATGTTTATGTGGATCCTCATTCTCAAGTCCACGAAACTTTGGAAGTATGTGGATGAGACCAGACTTGAGTTCAAAATCTGCCTCCATCGTTGGGTACTCAATGCACAATGGAGTTTGTTCTATGTCTGGAGCAGTCAATTCTCGTAGCGTTTGCTGTCTCTGTGCCATAATCGGCTCAGCTTCTGTTTCGATTTCAAGTTCTGAATCAGTTTCAACTTCTGAATCACTAGAAGAATCCTCCAAATCAAGGGCAATATTTAATCCGGGGGAAGATGAAGAAGACTCTTGAGCACGCAAAAATTTAGCTTATTTCCGCAACCGCTTTGCAGTTTTCTCGATTTCTGGATCGTACTCAAGTAGATTTCCTGCACGAAAAGAACGTGGCATCAAAACAAATCTAATTTTAATTTCCAATCCCCGTCAACGGCGCCAAAAATTGGTGGGTGTCGAAACCAACAATAATAAATTCCTACTCGTTTAAAATATAAAATTATAGTAGCAATGAGCAGGGTCGTATCCACAGAGATTGGATGAAATGAATTGATGCAACTATTTCGTAAAGGAATAACAAATAAATAAAAAGATGGGGGTTTTGATGTGTTCAATCTACCTAAAATAATAAAAATGCAGTTCAATGAAAATAAACACAAAAAGGAGAGATTCAATATTTAAATAGAATGAATAAAGGAGATAAAATATCCAACCAAAGGAAAGATTCGTAGAAATGGTTCAATGATTCGATCATAGATGCAAAGATAATTCTCCTACTCTCAATTAAACTGGTTATGGTTATTGGTACGACCTAATAACCTATCCTTCCTTACTTGTTCGATAATCGGGATACGATCACTAACTATTTCTCTAATCAATAGACAATCCTAGATACGATCATAGGATTTAATCTATCAACAGCATTAAAATTTAGGAGGACCACCAATTCTAGCCAACAATCACACATGTAGGATCATTTAGACTAGATCATATATCTCCCTAAACATAAAATCAAAAACCCTTAGTAATCAACTATGTTCTCTGCCACCAATATTAGAACAATCAAACAATTACGGATTTAATGTCCTAAATGGCGATATGCTATTCAGATAATTGAACAAAGAGCTCTTTTTGCATCAATCAATCAAAATAACAATTGATAATAAACACAAGAGAAATACGAATAAAAGAGAATAGGGAATTGAAAACACAATTAGATCTCACAAATCATGTAAACCAAATCATGAATAATCCTTTGGCTGGAAAAATAATTTAGCTATCTATAAACATGGTAGTCTTCTCCATAAAATTCATAAGAAAATAATAAAAACAGTAGAAATAAAATAAAAAGCAGATGAATTCTTATTCTGTTGTGCGTGCGTCGTCCCAGCAGATCGCGCAGATGAGATAGCAGATCGTGCAGTCAAAAAAGCAAATAAAAAAAATAAAAACCGACGTGAAGGGAGAGAAAAGAGAGAGGAGAGAGAAAAAAATAGTACCTAGCAGTCTGATTTTCAGTCTAATCCTAATCCTAGAAAAATACGTAGAAAATAATATTCTCTCTCCAAAATAATCCTAATAAATTAAAATAGTCTTTAAATAAATAAAAATTCCAAAAGGTCTTTTATTTCTCTTTTCAACTTGAGACTCCTTCTTTCTTCCAACTCTTGTAGGAAATTAGCGTGCCCACGCCTTAGCTCAAATTTGTCTCTTTAGCCCTCCAATCATCATAAATTCCAAGTTCCGAGACATCCTACGAAAATCATATAAATCAATTAAAATCAATAATTAAGCTCAAATAAACACCGAAAAATATGGAAAACATGACATTTAGCATGCCAAGAATACGACTTATCAGACTTTTTTTAGCCGTTGAATAATCCAATCTGATGGCTACAATGTATAATGTATTATTCCTTATTGCACTGAGCAACATTATCACCGAGCGCGACTCTGTATACATGCATATTTATTTTTTGTCAACTCCACCAAACTTCATCACCAAGTTTTTGTGTAATCCTCAAAGTTTTTCGAACTAAGTAATAAACCTTTATTGAATTCCATAAAATGATTGCAAAAGTTGACTGCCTTCTTGAACAAGCATATGGAAGATTGAAAGGTAATAATTTATGTTTATCTGAGAAAAGAGAGTTATAACACCTTTGCCTTTGCCTTTGCCTTTGCCTTTGCCTCTAAGACTTGAATTTCCTATTTTTATGCACATGAGTAGGTAAATTCTTATTGCCTACTCAGGCAACAACACACTTCCACTCCAAGCACTCCCGTGTCAGGGATAAATATTGTTTACCAAAATATACCTTTCAACAAGTATAAATTTAATTAATTATAAGTTTATTGCATACATAAAAATTGATAAATTATATAATTATTATACACTATTAAGCAGTAAACTGATCTTATTAACTTGATAAGCAATTTACATAAATCTCCAAAATTTTCAAATACAAAAAGAGATTCTCATCATTTCAGGACAAATTTTACATCAAAATTAAGTAGTTAAAATTACGGCAAAATTGTATTTTTACTTATGTTGGTTTAACGACGTAGCATTTTTAGTCCCAATGTTTTTAACTTTTTGTCTTTTGATTCTCTAATTTAGTATTTTGCTGCAATTTTAGTCTTTTAATTTTTTACTAACACTTTAAAGTCCTATAATCTTAAATTTTGTTGCAATTTCAGTCTCAAATGACTGAAATTGCGTTAAATTTTAAAATCATATTTAAAATTATAGGACCTAATAGCAAAATTGTTCAATTCCTAGTCACTGAATCAAACCAACAAGACTAAAATTACAATTTTATTACAGTTTTAATAAATACTACTAATAGTCAAATGATGGATACTGTTCACGAAATTCAAATATTGAATTACTACAATCTTTGGCAATGGAGACTTTATAATATGTTGAATTGTAGTTTTTTATTTTATTTTATTTTATTTTCAGATTTACAAATCCATAATACATCAACTAACTAAAATTTACAAGTGGAGTAGTTAGCATATTTTTGTCAAAATGTCAACACACCTACTCAAGAAAACAGTATTTTCACCAGAAAACATACATATACTCTTACTCTCAAAATCCAAATGCTTATACTATTTAACTTTGCAAATCATATTTAATTTACAGCATACTTTACCAGTTGCCCCTCCAATTAGTCCAAAATTAAATTCCTCCCCTTATTTTCTCATCAGTCATCAACTATAAAACCCCAGGGCATTTCTGTCATCCACCACCATTGCTTTCAAAAAAAAAAAAAATTATCAAAACATGTCCTTTAAAAGCCTCTAGCTAGCATCTTCCCACAAGTAATCTCTTAAGAGAGGGATCATTCGATAGCCTAAAAAAGATCGAACACGAAAAAAAAAAAAAAAAGTTAGTAGTTTCGTATGACGACACCAAAACAGGAGCAAGAACTCGAGCCACCAAAGCAAGATCGGCACGTGCAGCCGCCTAAAATATCTGAGATGATCAATCAAGGCAGTCTCGGGAGCCCTTTGATGGTCAATGTGGAAAGAGATGAGGAGATGACACGATCAGCATTGGCCGCCTTTCGTGCCAAGGAAGAAGAAATCGAGAGGAGGAAAATCAAGGTCAAGGAGAAAGTTCATGCGCAGCTGGGCCGTGTAGAGGAGGAGACCAAACGCCTTGCCGAAATTCGCGAAGTAAGTTGGAAAAATAAAAAAACTTATAAGAATGCTTGCTAAAATAGGATGTTTTTGCTAATAACCATGATTTTAGTAGGAGCTTGAGGCTTTGCATGACCCGATGAGGAAAGATGTTGCGATGATTCGTAAGAGAGTCGATTTGATTAATCGAGACTTGAAGCTGTTGGGAGTCAACTGCCAGAAGAAGGTCAAGTAGTTCGCTAATCAAAACTTTTTTTCTTTCGATTTTCCAAGTTATATGTAGAAGTGTAAGTTAGGTTTCGACTAATTTTGAGTAAAGAACGTGTCGAGTATGGACAACGCTTTTTTTCGAGATAAATTCAAAAGCTACTCTGATTTTCAGCCTGATTACAAACAAAATTAATGATCATGTAAAATTATGAATGTACATGATTATATCTAGCAAGAATGCATCTTCTTGAGTTATGTCATAGGGAAAAGAGAAAAAGTAAGGCAAAATTGCTTTTTTAGTCCTGTTGGTTTAACGTTGTAGCATTTTTAGTCCCAAAATTTCAACTTTTTTATTTTTTATCCTATAATTTAGTACTTTGTTGCAATTTCCGTCCTTCGGGACTGAAAAGGCAACAAGCCCGAAAAGGCAACAAAGTTAATAATTACATGACTTAAAAGATTTTTTATTTGCAATTTAAGTCATACAATTTTAAATTTTGTTGCAATTTCAGTCTCAAATGACTGAAAGAATTTTAAAATTATAGGACCAAATAGCAAAAATGTACAATTATTAGGACTAAAAACGCCACGAGATCAAATCAACAGGACTAAAATTGCAATTTTGCCAAAAAGTGAAATAAAAGAAGTTATATGGACAATGCTTGTAATGAGATTTAAAGTTATTTTATGATTTTTTTTTTATTGTGACAGGAGAAAGAATATAGAGATGCCTTAGAAGCATTTAATGAGAAGAACAGAGAAAAAGGGGAGCTAATTGGCAAATTAGTTCAAGTAAGAACTCAAATTTCTTGTCAAATTAAGAAAAACAGCAACACAGTTTACTAGTAACTCACCTTTTTTTTCACTTATTTTTTTTTTTTTTTTTT